CTCAGGCGCAGGAGAAGCTGATGGCCAGGTCCAGGAGCAAATGGAAATTTCTCGACAAGTACTGTTGGGGAAAAGGGGAAGAAGAGGTCCATTTCTTCTGACTTTATGGCATGGTGGCATGCCATCGCCTCCTGACCACAATCTACTTCAAGCAAAACGAATGCATCTTGTCTTTAATGCATTTTGCTTGTTCTCATACACTTTCAGACACAACATAGTGGAGCAACAAGATTGGCACCTCAACATCATTTTTGGCTTCCAGACCTGGCACGCGGCACACGGGGGACTGCCCATCTCTGGCACTCAAAAATCTCAAGCAAACTCTACCCGCTCGTTTTGCCTGGCTCGCGCTTGATGTCTTTTCCGCTTGCGCGGGCCTGCAGGCGCATGTCTGAATCTGATTTGCTTGAATTCACGAGCTCTGGCTAGATGGCAAGAGGAATTTCCCAAGAATGTATTTTTAGAGGGCTCACGTAAAACTTGGGCTTGGCGCCTCTCGGCTTGCTTAGTATCTGGCGTGAATGTTGCTTTGGCTTCAAGTGCAGAAGCAGTCTCGGGAATTCGTGAGACCTTGTTAGACCTTGTTAGCCTTTCAATGGATGTGTTTGATCTGCAGTTCACACATAGCATCACATACTGAAGAAAAGATTGGAAACGCGGCCCGCCTCCAGTACTCGCTGAAATTCCTCAAAGCATTGATAGGGGGACGCATCCCAATGCAGGCCAAGACAGTATGCAGGCAGGAAACATGCTCAAGAGTCTCCCCTCTGAGGAATTCTTCCTCCAGCACCATCGCCTGAGAAGCACATCATGGACGCTGTGCCAAGCAACTCTTGTTTGCTCTTGCCTGCTCTACTTCTCCATCTGAGCTTGCGCCTCATACTTGCATTGACCATACCAGCCACGGCAATGACAGGAATGTACCAGTTTGAATTAACTTGCCTTTTTTGTCTGCAGCGGCCTGCACCCCCACCCGTCGCTGCCTGTCACAGCCAATGCTTCCATTGGTACACCGCATGCACCAATGACAGGCACCTTGGATAGGTCCCAGAAAAGTTGGCTGCGAGACGCCTCCGACGCATGCAAGCAGGAAGCACAAGCTGCCATCCGAAACACATCAGCCGCTCCCCGTCTAGCATTAGGCTGTTGAACCTGGAGAGCGAGAGGGCTACTGCAACAAGGAAGAGATGCCATGTCCTTGGAGGTTGCTAACATGCAGGACCTCAAACACAATTACGCCAATTGCCCTGCCCAGTAGAATCAACAGAATGCCGCTCAGGATCCGGAGTCTTTTCATAGGTGCCTGTCTGCTCAAGGCACTATTTGCAAAAACAGAAAACGAACAGTGTACAACCTGCCTTTGGCATCATGGCAGGAAGTTCTACTAAACTGCTCTGAAACGACGCTGCATCCAGCAGGGCAGGTTACGTGTAAAACCAAGCAGTCAGCGCTTCTCTCACAGAGTGGCACAGCAGCTGGATCTATGGGCAGCAGAGTGCATTCTTTTCAGACCACAGCGTACCCCACGCCTTCAGTACTGCACCCTTGCTCGTCGAGCTGCTTTATGCACGAACAACAAAGAATTTGTAGAGCATGACGTAGGGCAACAACTCGTAGGGGAGGGACTATGAGAAAGCTTCTAAAACGAAGCAACACCCTTGTCATGATCTGCACACGCACAGTGTGTTCATTTGGAAGCCACTATGCTAATCAAGCGCGTGGTCGCAGACTCCCACTCATCGACTGCAGAATCCACGCGGGCTCTACAAAGGGCCACACGATGTGTTCTTCACATTCGGCACCTTCCACAAGCAAGATCGCTGGAATTCTGAAGAAACTGCTAGTAACCACATCAGCACAATTCCAGTGTGCACCTTCGCTCCCATCCCTGTTGCGCATCTCGAGGTTCAAGAAAGATATGTCTCTTAACCAACGCGGAACTGCCACTTCCTTGGTCTGGAGCGATAGCTCTCTTTGTGTTCATTGCATGCAGCTTGAAGATCAGCCCAGGGCAACGATGACCGAAAAAGGTGACTGGGACCCGGACCACGTACTGCCTAGAGCTGCATGAGGATGCAGAACACTTTGCATCACTTTGCATCACTTTGTACAAAAAAGCCCCGCGCCAGCCCTTTCGCAGTGGACCGCTTCGATTCGCCTTCTACGAATGGCTCCGTCTCCTCTGATGGGTTCACATGAGCCAAGCCTCTCCCCCAGTTTCGTGAAGGCGTTCAGACCTTGAGCCCACTTGTTGAGACACTTTGAGACAGACCCAAAGGAGCTGAGGTGCAGGCCCGGGCCATGATGTGGCAAAGACGGGAATCCACAGCCTCAACTGCGGAGGCATCGCTGAACAAAACGCTCTCATCAGCACATCAGCACTGCATGTGAATCAGATGTGACCAGACCCAACTAGCCCAAATATAAACATCACAAACAAGCAGAGTCTGTGGCTGAACTTGGGCAGAATGACGCGTAGGAACCTGCAGGTTCGCAGTCACAAGCTTGGAGGACAGACCAGTGTCAGATCACAGACTTAGCAACAGGCTCCAAGAACTTTCGAACCTGGGCCGGGAAGAACCGACCTGACAAGATGTTTGGTCGGCCAACTGAGTCAGTCATGGAGTCTAGGCACGTGTCCAGAAATCCAAACATGCTGACTATGCAGCCGAAGGGTACAGAGAAGCCGGCCTTGGAGTTCTGCAGAATATTCCATGCTGCCTGCAAATTGGTACTTTGCTGCAAATGGTACCTTGCTAATCCTTGCTACAAGTATGAGTTGCACGCACCCAAACAAAATTAGAAGGAACCATGGAATTTGGTCTGCCTCTAGCTGGATCACTGCCAGGCTCTGGGTGTTTGTTGATTCTGGCCTCGGGCAAACAACGTAAATCCTGATCCCATTATGTCATTGAACCCGCTTCCACTAGACCTTACACAGACTTGGCATCATGCAACTTTTGCGGACTTCACCTGGCAATGACAGATGCCTATCCGACGTAGCTGTACATTATCATTATCACATCTTGTAACATGCCAGGATGCACAGCTGAGTTCGCGAAGGGCGTCGGGGCGAGGAGTTTGGGCAATCGCTGAGGCCTGGCTCACAGACAAGTTGTGAAACAAAAGAGGAAAAGACACTGATTCAACTTCGGAGACATGCTTTCCGTCACGTTTGAATTGACAGCTCAGCTCGAGGCATCTTGACAGCAGAAGGCATCGGATGTCCCAAGAAATGCTGTCGGAGCACATTCATCAACATGTGAACTCGCCAACTCCCTTGAAAGCACAGGGCTGACTTAGTGAGCTTGAAGTCCTCTCCGCCTCCTGGCGTCTTTGCTCTCTCACCATCGCGGCGCAGTTCCAAGAGGTCTTGCCTTGCCTTGGCTGAGAGGTGGTCCTCAACTTCTGTGCCGCCTTTGGCATATGGCATGACTGTGACTCCTTTGACACTCTCGCTGGCCAATGACTGGGGCTGCTCGAGCGACGCTTGCCGTTGTAAGGAGCGCGGCGGCATGTCAAAGTACACGTGGTTTCCCTGCAGCATGCATCTCAGCTCTCGGGTGGAGGGCCAGAGAACAGCACACGGCTCCAAACGAGAAGGCTTGATGACCTCACCACTTGTAGGCGAGGTCCACGGTTCAGTTCCATCACCAAACACGACCACAGAGAAACGATCGGATTCAACACAGAATGTAGAAATGACACCCTGCAGCAGAAGTACCCATAAGCTTCGATAGGCTTCATCCCATTCCTGAACCTCACGACAGTCTTCGTGGGGCCCAGTAGCCGGCTCCACCGGCCCGCGTGCCGGGCCGTCAACTTCGTGCCAGCAAAGAATTTCGCTGATTTTGGCAAGCCAGGCCACTGCCTTGTTCTCATCAGCTAGCAGGAAGGGGATGTTGTCCCTGCATGCTTCAAGAGCAGCAGCTCGCACGGCATCATTCAGATCTCTTTGAAAGCGAAGCGCACAAGGCAGGCGTCGGAGCCACTTCCAAGTCATAGCGCATGTTGTCAGCGTGAGCACGGGCTGCACTGACTGGTCGGACAAAAGGTCCTCAGCGGAGGACAGTTGTGGAAGCGGCTTCACTTTGTCTTCAGCTGGTCCTTTACGCTGAAAGGATTGAAGTCCGTCGAGGAATCTGCCATGCTCACTACCGTCTAGAAGCTCGGCTCCCTCGACATCCACCCGCTCAACCTCAACCCCTCCAGTTGCAATCTGCACTTTTACAGCCTGTGAGTCGTCAATGCCAAGCTCGTTGTCAGGTTGTCGAGCAGGCCTGAATCCTGAAAGTTGTCTCCTTGCCTTCTTGGGTGGCTCTGTAGCCATCACAATTGCGCGGCTAGTAGCTATCCATCTCAAGAGTGTCCCCTCCCCATGTTTTCGACTCGGGTCAGCATGAGAAACACACTTTGCAGGAGGGGTAGAGTAAGCAGAGGCTGACACATGAAGTTCACCTAATCTTGATGCAATCAAGCTGGCGGCAGATTCTTGCGCCATGATTCGGTTCAACCTAAGCTTGTGGGACACCAACAGGCAGTTGGTGGTTGGAGGTTCTCACCGCACACAGATTATTATGCCAAGAGGTCAATCAACTGTGCAAGTCCCTGCTAGTCTCACGTCATTCTTTGACGATACAGAGTGCTACTTGCACAGGCTGTGAAACTGCCACTTTGGGCAAGAAGTTAAACCAAAACCTGCGGCATGGCAAAGCCACGCGTCCGCAGTCTCGTTAACTGCCGCAAGGATCTTCCTCTCGGCCAAGTTTGGCTGGTTAGCCGGTCGTGGTGATGCCCTGGCACCATATTAACATTGCTGCAGCTCAAAAATCAATTAGCCAGCGAAAGCTGCTGCCACTCTGCTGCCTGTGCCTGCTTGGACCTCCTCCTTGTGCTCTCTCTGCCGGAGGAGTCTCCATCCACATGCTTCAGGCCCTGCTGTGCGAGAGAGCTCACGGAAAAAAGGCTTGCTTCTCAGCCTTGCTATCCATTGCACTGCTTTAAAGTGAAGTTAGACCGAAAGCTGCGGCCCCTTTTTCGCTGCAACAGCGTCGCTTGTCTGTCCTGGCAGATTCCACGCCCTGTGGCCCCGTCATGTTGCTCGCGTGTCTTCTGGCGCCTTAGAGTCTCACCCGCATCTGGATGCCACAGGTCCAGCAGCAGCACGACCTCACAAGACATCTCCAGAATCACTTTGTGAACGGCAAGAGGTCTTTGTCCAACGCCGAGATTCTAGCTCTTGCTTCCCCTGACAAGCCAGGCTCCGCCTGACCGTGGTGACCGTGGCTACTGAAGCAGGATGCAGCGGAGGGCAGGCAGCCAAGCAACTTGCCTCGGATGCTGCAGGCAACCTTACTCCAGCCAACAGTTGCTATGCACGTTGATCTGTTCACTTCTCAACCTAGGCATAAGGTATCCACAAGGTAGCTAGGAAACGCAGCATCATCACTCTTATCCTCGGCCTTGTCGATGGTAAGCATTACGCAGGGTCTTCGCTGTCGTCACGGAACGCACATCCATGATTCCGGAACTAACGAAACCATCGAAACCCCTTTGTGTAGCTCATGTTTGCATGTTTCCCAACAGCCCAAAAACTTCATTTCCTGAGGCAGGGCTATGGCGCACAGTGACTGCTGCTCTGGCTACAGCTTCCAGCAACTCTGCCTGTGGTCCCACAAAGCCCGGTAGAGCTCAAAAACAACATGTGGAGGGGGGACCCCAGCATGAGGAAGGACGAGTGGCGAATAGGTGAAATTGAAAGTACTCGAGGGATGTGTTTGGCTGAGATCCGCAGAGCGAGTCACAAAGGCTGCATCGCCAGGGATAACAATAACAACGAAAAAGGAATCGCATTTCACACAGTATCCTAAGCAGAGCTAGCATAACTGTGGGATTCAGCTCGGCCTAACAGCTGTTGCAGTTGCGTACTCGAAGGGGCGAACGTGGCGGTAGTACTGGTACGTCAGCTTTGAGCAGCAGGCAACGGGAAACCCTGCGGCTTGCCCACAATGTGCACATGGCAGGGTGAGAAGGAGCTTAACCACAAAATGCAGTTTAGGGATGTCAGAACAAGTGATGCACAGCAGATTACAAGCAAACTTTGTAAAGGAAGCATCTGCCATGGTTGCTTCCATCACACCCTCTCCAACGCTGCACGTGCAAGGCTGCAAAACCTTCGTTGGCGAGGGCTACCGATGGCAGCCATGCATAGCATTGGAACAACAAGTCGCCGGCTGTATCTGATGTTCGAAGCTGTCATCGAAGATCAGACACCTGCAGCCGCTGATCGCAAACCATTTTGTCTTCACCTTCGTGAAGTGAACCCAAAGAATCCAGCACAAAACAAGCAATGCCCTTGACAGGAAAAGCTGAATCCAACAAGAAAAACTGTGCGCCGCGGTGCCTGTGCAGCTCCCAATCACGAGCCTCTCCAGCCACAGTCAGGCCGGACATCCGCCGCAGCCCGCCCGGAAGCAGTAAAGGCATGTGTAGCCTGTTCAGACAACATTGCCATGCTGATTGCTGGAGCAAGCCACGCCTCAAGCGATGATTGGTAGGTCCACAGTGTGGCATGATCGTAGCTCCAGACCTTCGTTGAAGAAACCAGGAAAGGGCAAGAACTTCGCATAGCTGCAGGGGTATACAGGTCCAGGAGCGCTAAATGTACTCTTCAAAAAGTAGATCGTACTGCAGGCTGAGTTTGCGTCGCAAGCAGGTTCTACTCTTGTTCACTTGGGCTCAGGTCCAATTGAAGCACATAAAGCATTCTACTCTACAAAGGTATACACAAAGATGACTGGGAGTCAGCAGAAGTTTGTGCTCTGGCACTTTTCTCTTTGTGACCTGCTGGGGCAAGCCCGCCACTGTACACGTTCGCGAACTCCATTCGCCTAGCCTCATCCATCAGGAATATCTTCCAGACGTAGCTCTTCGAGCTCTTCCCCCGTGCCATGTGAGTCTCCCAGCTATCGCATGATGGTGGTAAGGATCAACCTCGCACGAGCTCAACCAACTCTTAAAGTGTCTCATCTGTGTTGGGAAGTGACCGTATCTGGTTGCTGGGCATGCTTGGCGGACTGACATCATGCGTTGCGAAGGCCCGGGTGTTCTGGGCCTGGGTTGACAGGGTCGAACACCAGGCCCACACATTTCTTCCCTTCTAAATCGTTTATCTTTCCTTGTCCACTTTTTGAAGGTCTCTGCGCGTTGCTACGCTCCAGCAGCGTGGATTTTCGCCTCATCCACTCACACGCATTTTCCTCGCCCACCGTAACCAGCTTGAGAGCCACCATAGCCTATCCTTCATGTTCTGGCTGGCCAATGAGCCCAGCTTTATGCTTCGACCTGGCCGGCCAAGCAGGGAAAGGTTCGCTTTGTGGTTCCATGTCCGGCCAAGGCGTCCGGCAATGAAGTGGCCATTGGAAATTTAGCAATCTAGCATGGTGTCAGAGAAGCTCTTCACGACGTCGAGATCATTCATGCCCAGGAGCCTTGCACTTGAACCAGCATGCCACGGCATCTAAGACATGAAAATTTGCAATAGCCCAGTGCTCATGTCCCACATCTCAAGTCGGCTAGTCACTTCAAGCATGCCTTTGTCGCCTCGCAACCATCCACCAGAGAGCCTTATTTAGGCTGTTCTCAGTCTGGTGCGCAGCAGATAACACCTCTGCACGCGCTAGATGGGCCCTAAATCTGATCTTCTTGGAACCGATCTTCGCGAAGAGGGCCTTGGCGCAGGTGCAGCCTGACAACGGGGTTCAACAGTCATGATCAGGTCCAGCACGATCCACGCCACGTCTGGGACCGCGCCAGCAGGGTGAAGAAGACTTGTCAAAGATGCGTGTGAGATGTTTTGAGCTTAGCGGGCAAGCTCCAAAATGCGTTGGGCAGCAGCTGTCTCGGATACCTCAGCTCTGTCATATGAACAGTACACTCATGCCGTACACTTGAATGACTTGCATGGATTTGCATGAAAGGGCGCTCCACCCGACGGTACCGTGAAGCAAGGCCACACCCACACAAGAATCCTTTTGTATCACAGACATGCCCTCAAACGAGATTGTCTCTCAGGGCCAGGGTGTCCAGAACGCAACAAAATGGGGTGGTGTTGGGTGTCGCGTGCATGTGTATTGTGAAAGCTGTGAGCGAGTCTCCATCCCCACTTGGTTGCATATGGGAACCCCTGCATGCGGCTCCGAGCATGTTAAAATAATTGCTGCTTGAGGGTTTCCAACAACGACGCGCTTTTTCGTGCCTGGTTTCCCCGCACCAAGCCTGCACGAAGGAACTCATATCCAACGTTGGGCCATGTCAAAGTTGGTTCACCCCACGTCACAAGGAATCGACACATTGCATCTATCAAAACAGAAAATAAAAGAATGGCTTGGGCTTGTTGTGGCCTCAAAAGAATGGCAATTTCTTTTTTCTGCTGCTTGTTGTGATGCCCCTGCTAGAACCCTTGCCAATTTCTGTCCAGGCCTTCACGGTAAACGTCCTGCCCAACAATTTTGGCCATTTGCATTGCTTCGAGTTGCAGCTGCTGAAGCACAAGCTGCCGTTGGCGGACTCGCTGGCAGCTTCTCTGAGGGTACAGACCCGATGAAGGTGTGCAAGTGAAGCCAGGGAACCGAGACGTAGGGATACCTCAGTAGCTAGCAAATGCAGCCACACCTTGTTGCTGAAGTAGCACACCTTGACTATGCTAAAGCACGCGAGCTTGCAACAGCAGGCACGTAAATGCATCAGGAGAGCAGGTGAACACACTGGAACTCTGGTTCAGGAGCACCTGGCCCCCCTGCACCTGTGGAAATGAAGACCTTACGGGTTGTAAAGCAGAAGGCCAATGAAGGCCAGGACAGAGCTGACATTGGAAAGCCAGTGTCTCCAGTTCTTCCAAGCAGCTCGGCGTCCTGCTTCCACTTTGGACAACGCAAACCATGAAACCCAACACCAAGGCTGGACAAAATGCGCAGAAGGATGGAAGCCGACACGCAGAGTATCAGCCCCGTAGGCAGTCTGATGCTTTTTGAAGAAATCCTAAAGCCCCATGGCCTGAAGCAAGCATAGCACCAAGAAGCTGTGCTGCATGCTCGGGACCTTGGAGGCAAAGAAGGCGAGGGACTGGGTTCTCAATGCTTCTCTTCACCATTGAGGTAAGGACACTCCTGTGCGAGCCTTTTGATGTCACGGAAATATTCAACTGGAATGCTCAGAATGTCGCTGCCAGACCTCATGGCAACAAATGTATCAGGTACAGAATAGCTCGAAAGCCTCTGTCGGTAACTGCTGGTAAGCTCCTGGCCGAATGTTGCGGAAGGACGCTGTGGACGCGGTGATCTCCAGGGATGTCTCTCCACAGGCAGTTTGCTGGCATTCTGGAAGTGAACTTGCACAGTGGAAGTGGTCGACACACCTCCGTCCAGCAGCTGTGCTTGTGACAGACATGTAATTGCGCACTCCTGCACTTTGCGTTGTGTTGGCTTTCTTTGAATTTTCGTGGCCTGCCCGTATACAAGCAGAAGCACCGTGCTGCTTTGGGAAGAGAAAGAGCAGAGACATTTGCTCCTTCATCATGCAGTCACTCACCAAGGCATGTCAGAGTTTCCATCAAAGCTGCGTTCTGAGTGCATCTCCTTTGCACCACAGGGATATTGGTTCGATTGGCTCGGAGCTGGTGGAGGTGCTCTCCGAGGTGGTGCTAGCTGCTGGTGTCACCCTCAGCTCCAAAATGCCCTGGCCACGCGGTCGTCTGCTTGCTTTGCAGTCAAGCAGCGCTGATGCTTTGGCAGACGCAAGGGCAGCCATCCATGCAGCTACCAGTCCAAGGACGAGCAGCCTCGCTGCGTGGTTTGCTAGAGCTTCCCACGCGCATCACACATGAGCATGAGCCTAAACGTTGCATCATGTTGATACCTCACATGTCCAGCCAAGCTGCGCGGCACACTTCCACCTGTTGAACCAAGCTGCTCCAGTTGGGTGCCAGGATCGAGCACGCAGATCCCTTGCTCCAGAGTTTTCACTGCCAAGCTCTTGCATAGAGATGCCATCTCCATCCATCGTACGGTCGGCTAAACAGGAAGCTATGCGAGCACAAGATGATGCAGTCAAGGGCTTTGAGGTTGAGTGCTTACTTGGTGGTTCGTGTGAAATGGATAGCCTAGGTGTGTTGGTCTTGTTCCCCACCCTCGCAGTGGGGTGGTTAGATTTTCAAGTAGATGTTATCCTCGCCCGACTAGAATCTGACTTTAGTGACCAACCACCAAGTATCCCTGTAGTGCCCAACCAATGATTATCGCTGCAATGCCTAACGGATGTGCCCAATCGCAAAGTATCCCTACAGTGTGCAACCACCAAGCATACCTGCAGTGCCCAATCGCAAAGTATCCCTGTAGTGCCCAACCGCAAAGTATCCCTGCAGTGCCCAACCGCAAAGTATCCCTGCAGTGCCCAACCTACAAGTATCCTTGTAGTGCCCAACCACCAAATATCCCTATAGTGCCCGATCGCAGAGCATCCGTCCACTGCCCAACCGCAAAGTATCCCTGCAGTGCTCAACCACTAAGTATCCTCGCAGTGCCCATTCGCAGGGTATCCCTGCAGTGCCCAACTGCAGAGTATCCCTACAGTAACCACCAAATATCCCTGCAGGGCTCAACCGGAAAGTATCCCTACAGTGCCCAACCGCAGAGTATCTCAGGAGTGCCCAATAGTAGATCATCAATATTCTTACAGCGTATTTACAATTCTTAGGGGGGGGCAGAGAAACATTATCTTTCTTCTTCAATAACGGCTTTAGGGTGGGGATGCTCGAAGTAAATAATTTAAGTCCTCTTTTCCTTGCCTGGCATCTGCCCTAAAGATTGAAGTGGATCTGATTTGAGCACTGACGGGGTGAGTAGAAGCACCAAACATGACGCTTCCCTGCACACGTCTCAGTGCCCGGCATGACAAGTGACAGGGCTGCACGACCAGGGCTGGAGAGGGGAGAATTCTCTTCCTTTTCTCAAGCGCAGGAACAGCTAAGGCCGCAACGCCACTGCCATGGCTTCGCCTGTGCCTGGCAAGCTTGCAAGTCCTGAACAAGCCACCCAGCCACCCTTCTTGCTGGGACGCACACGCATTGCCGCAGAAACAGCAGCTGTGGCTTCAGGCACTACCTGCGAAGATTGCAAAGACATCTGACTTCAAATGTAGGATTCGCACGCGGCCTTGCTAGAAGATGCGAGACCTGGGATTTGAAGCATGGAAGGAAAAGCGGGATTAGGGCTGAAACTGCATGGCTGTTCAGCCGGCATGCGTCCTTTGGCCCAGATCTCTAGCTTCAGCCAAACTCCTAAGGTGCCATGTAAGCAATAATTCAGTAGCATTGTGACTTGGACGTCCTGAATGCAGACCTTCGCGCTGCGGTTGCCAGGATGGCCTCTCCAACATATTGCGACGCTCTTTGCTTAGACCCTTGACGTTGGCTGCTTTCATCTGCTTGCCCGCAAAGCTCGTGGAGAAGTTCACGAGTCTCTCCGCCAGCCTTCCTTGCAATACTGACTCGCTGCTTTCTTTGCTCGTTGCGATATCCTTTGTGATTTCTGTCTTTATGTGTTCAAGTCTCGGCTTGCTAATGCTGAACGGCCTTTACCTGCAGCTCAGCTCCAACACATAGAAGAGTCATGTTCATGGCAGCAAAGGATTTCCCACAAGCTCAACAACGAAACCATACATGTTGTTTCTTTGATGTGTGTGCAGCTGGGTTTTTCAACACAAAAGACGATTCGAAAAATCATGGCATGTCTGACTTCTCGCGCACAAGTCCAGTCTTTCTGAAATTGTTTTAATTGTTTCAGATGTTTTCATGATTAATCTCGCTCGCTTCTGTCTCAGTCTTTTTGCTTCTGTCTCAGTCTTTTTGCTTCTGTCTCAGTTTTTTTGCTCCCCACAACGCCAGGGAGAAACAGTGCAAGAAATGCAGAAACCACAAAATTGCAGGCTTCCACAATGACCGAAACAACGAGAAGAAAAGGGCAACGCAAAACAGAGAAAGAAGCAACGGATTAGGACAGAAAACAAAATGCACAAAGAATTACTCAAGTAAAAGAAGCGAAGGAAAGAAAGGCTCCCAGAAAGAAACGACGAGACCGAAAGGGCACAGAACACAAAAAAAAATGCCAACCCTAGGCAAAAACATGCATTGATTGTCAGAGGCTGGTACAATTCGTCCAGCAACCCATCAGTATCCTTCGGATCGCAACTACTCAACTCACTGCTGCACTCTGCTGCTGGCCGCTTGCTGGCTCACCTTTCCATAATTGTATGCACCTTTGGAAGAGCCTTGCCATTGTTCCCGGGTTCCAGCAAGTATCAGGAAGTATTGGCCAATACGTGGCTGATTGCGCAGCCTGTTCTGCTTGATGGACGCCCACACTCTCTCCCCAACGGTAATCATCAGGCCCAAGTTTCTTCGATCCTTGTTTCCACTGAATTCCTTGTTTCTTCAAGTCCAATCGCGGAAGAAGTCGCTCTTTATGGTCCTAGGCTCCTACTGTGCACATGCAAAACAATTCACCTTCGCAGCGGAGTCGGGCAAAATTGTATGCGTCCTGCACGGTGACCATTTTCCCTCTACACTCCAGAATTCACCACCACTATCCTGCAACTGACGAGAAGAAACACTGCCCCGCGAACATTCCGTACAACTGTTGGAAAGGTGATTGCAACGGGGAAAGGCTTATTGCTTCATTTCTGCAACTTCGTTCTTTGTCTTTGTTTCCGTCCTGCACAGGGCCATTGAGGCAAGCATGCAAAGTTTCTGAGATGTCTTATGAGCACAGCACACAGCAGGGCTTTGCGCACCCAAACAGGAAGGCCAGGGCCGGCATGTGCTGCAGCTGGCTGTGATTGTGTGCAAGTCGCTCCGCTACAGCTGCTCGGCAGAGGCAGCTCGGTGTGTCGTGGAATCAGTAGCATAATGTTGGACCCTGCTATGCTCGGGCACCCTCTTTAACGTCAAGTTTTCGGGGCTCATTCAGGTTCTGAATATGTTTTAGGGACCCTCTTTAATGTCAAGTTTTGGGGTCTTCAGTGCTTTTTTTAAAGTTCGAACAATAAAGCGCTTAAGGGGCCCTAGTTCCTAATTCAGCTCACACCCTTCAAGCAATTTATTCAGGCTCCAAAATTGTTTGGGGCGGGCGTCCATTCCCGTGCGTTTTGAGCGGGTCCAAGATTATGGTTGCCACGTACTCACAAACGGCACGGAGTAGGCTGAATGAAGGGCAAATTCCGTGTACCAATGGCAACAGGAACTGCACCCGTAATGTATCCCGGCCTCATCCCACCCGTGCGAGCCGCATCCTGCACCAGCAGTGCTGCCATTTGCTCAAATATGCTAAAGTTTATGCTCAAAGCACATTGGTCAGCATGCCTTTTTCTGAAACAATGCGATCGGCTTGCAATTGCACTTTCTGCGTGAGAAGCGGTAACTCTGGTGGACAGGCTTCACGCCTGCACCCCAGCGCTTTAAAGTTTTTTCATGGAAATTATCGATCTCATGTAGCTGTAGCTGCTCTCATCGACTCTGGTAGCCATTGAAATGTCTGGCCAAGCCTGGAGCATCAAGGCCAGAAGGATGGAAAGGGTGCATTTAAGCAGATTCAAACCAGGCCAAGCTGCAAGTTAGCCACCTCCATCTGCTTGGCTTTGATTTCTTCGTCATTTGCCAAGTCCTGCATGGCCGCGTACATGTCCTTAGCTGAGAGCCACTGGCCTGCACATCCTTCACAGAAACTCCCGGGACAGCATGGTACATTGTAGCATGGCTGCAGCTCTGGGCTCCAACCTTCCTGAAGTGCTCGCCTCATAGCCCCACTTCGCGAACACAGGCTCCTGCGCCGGCCCCAGCACATCAGCCTCGCTGCATGAGGAGCAGCCCTTCGGATTGCATGTTGACTCCACAGGCTTACAGGCAACCTGCAGTGCTATTGCAGCTCAGAGTCCAGGAGAACGCTGTACTGGCGGACGTCCTTTTGACCGTTGACAAAGGCCTCCTGAAATCTGGATAAGTTTGCCTGAAAGTCGACCTAGGCTCATCTCGCGGTGAGATTGCATGGCATCAAGAAGATGAAGGAAACATCCTGGCTGCAACTGAATGGCGTTTTTGTAAGCAGCTATCAGCTCGTCTAACAGCCTAAGTGCCAAGATGTGCCAGGATGTAGGATGTGTCAAATGTGAGGCTGCCGATAACGCTGACGGACGATGACAGGTGTCAAGGTCCCCTCTGACTGCGTGCAAGGCTCTGCATTGAGTCATCCTTGCTGAGAGAATCCACATGATGCCTGCAAGAACACACAGCCAGCCAGAATGGCTACGGCGGGCCCCAAAAAAAGCCAAGTACTGAAATCGCAAAATTGAGGCTCGGGGCTAGTGAGACTTGTCTAAATGCAGCCCCAGGTTCTCTATTGCGATGGTGTCTGGCAAATCCTGGAAGTGACAAAGTCCGTGTCTGCACGCTTCATCCAACAGCAAGCCACTGTCCTCGATGGTCTCCAAACCTCCGATTTCAATGGTGCCCGTAGGAGCCTCCGAGCGGAAGCTGCTTGCTGGGCAATGTATGCGGGGCCTGCCATTTTCTCATGCGTCACAGGTGTGATGCTAGACTGTCATCGAGTGTACTGTTGGGAGATACGCGCAAACTGCCTGGGGGCATGTCTCCGCCGCCATAGCCACTTGCTTATGCATGCCATTTTTAACTCATAGTTTTTGTCATACCTATTTGCATTGTCCTTGGCCTGGAGGTTGCATCAGATGCAACTGCACTTCAGTTGCATGTCTGACACGTAGAACTTTGCATTGCAAGTGTTCAGGGGCAGAGCTATGGTCCACATAAACTTGAGGGGCGATCCGGGGCCAACGAAAGCTGGTCGGGCTCTATCTAGCACTGGAGTAGGGTAGAAGAGGAGGGAAGGCACATGCAAGCAAAAAGCACAAGCCTGGTCAAGGGGCCTGGAAGACCCTTCGTAGAACCTCGCCAACTCGACTCCAGTGTCCACTTCTCTTTGCATTTGACTTTGCACTCCACTTGCCTTTCCAGCTCTCTCCTCCCCACTTGCCCCATTCTCCCAGTCTTTGCTCCATGTTGCACTGACCTGTCCAGTCTAACTCTGACTTTACTCTGGATTCCACCCTCCAGAGACCACTCCAGTTTCCACTCCACTCTTATTCACTTTCTGCATCCCTCACCACTCCACTCTGCAATGCATTCTCCACTCCACTCTCCAGTCTAT